TATTACTCGAGGCGCATAGTTCGTGGATTTTAGTACTAGATTAAGCAAAGGAAGATTTTTAAGAAGTAGTTAGCATACAAAACTGAAAGCTAACTAGTGAATGTGGCAAGGGAATCAAGATCACATCAATTATATAGCACGAGCTGTCAGCCCAATTCCAAAATCAAAGCAATTTACAAAGAATTTTATATAAAGCTTTGACTTTTACTAGGATGAAGACGACAAAACAATTAGCTGTTACTAAGTACTCCCATAAAAATATTATTTAGATATTAAGGCATTAACTTTGACACATGTTTTTATTCATTCTTTTACCTAAAATGCTCTAGAATTGAAAGGTATTAAATTAAATTTCATCAAATGATTTTTGCAAAAGAGATTTGCTGTTTTGATGTTCATAATTCCTCCATTTATACCTATTTGCACAATCGATTGTTGCGTGGTCTTGTAACATTCATTTAACAAATAAGACCTCTTCTTGCGACTCTCTGGCAAGGAATCCAACAGATCAATAGACATTTTCACATTGAATTTAAGTAGAGTAACGGTTTTATCTAGATACATTCATTTAACACTTTACTACCCAGGATTTATCAATTCAGTGGTTACATATTTACTTGTGTCAATCTTTAAAAACACTCAACCACATGAACTGTGGTAGTGTGCTGATATTTGATTACCTCTATTTAGGTTGTTACTGCGTTAATGGCAACTTCAAATAGGTTCTGACTAACTGCCTAATGGACGTTAATCCTTACAAAACAGATCACGTGGCAACTATTGGTATCGACACCATGGCTGCAAAAACGCGTATTTAAAAGGTCAAAAAACCGAAGTCTGCAGAGGATCATTTTTTTTGTCTAGACCTTGAAGAAGTGTTTTGAGAAGATTTTTCGACAGAACAGATGTTAATTTTATCCAACAACCTTTTTTGCGTATAAGAGCACTCATTAGTTTTTTAGGGGAAGAATTTTTGATTTCAACATTTTTTTTACTAAATTTTTATAAATGCGGCATTATACTGCAAAGTTTTATTCAATTATTTTTTCCCAATAATGTGTTTTGTTTTATTTGTCTACGTAATTTTGTCAAGGTGAAAAGGAACCCCTCTTTGCTGTTGAATTCATGCCTTTTTCTTTCAGCTGTTTTCGACGGCGGTGAAGATTCTGAAAATTATGTCTGAGGATTCCGCCATTTTGGTTAAATGTATACTAGTTGGCGAAAGCGGAGTTGGGAAAACTAGCCTGGTCGTTAGTTACACGAAGGACGACTACCCCGTCAATCACGAACCAACTGCCTTTGATACTTACGTTGGTTAGTTGTTAATCTCATTTTTTCTACCCTACAGTACTTTTTTGACGAACTCGGCTTTTTGTCTGCTACCCCACAGGCTTTTGTGACGGAATGGTCTTTTTGCAGATCATTACTATTAGTATAACAACGTTGTGTTCCTTTTCGATTTCATCAAAATTCAAAATGTATCCATCATCGTGATCTGGTATGAGGCGTTGCATCGTGTTAATTTGAAATTATTGTCTGTCATAATGCCTCTGACTAATATATTTGCTTCTAATGAAGTTTGTTCAATCCACATTGAAAATCTGCGACCTCAACTGTCAGCTAGTATGGCTATGTTTAGTCACTTTGCTTCGCTTGCAACATCGTGATCCTTCGAGAATCAATTCGTTGTTTCAGAAGGACCTAACTGCCTGGATATTGTTGTAGAATACTTTCTAAACTCATTGTTTTTCTTATTTCAATTACTTTTAGCCGACGTGTCAGTTGTTACGTGGTTTATAATTAAGCGACTCACAATTTTATGTTGTTTGTTCAAGTGCCGATTTTTTATTTCAGAACTTTTCGTTACACTTTTGAAAAAAATTCATATTTTTAATAAAACTACAATTTTACTTTTACTGGTCTTCCCTGACGTTGAAATACCTACTTTCGTAGTTGATCTCCGTGTCGAAAACCGTCAAGTTAACCTCGAAATATGTGATGCCGGTGGCGCGGTAAGTGCAGTACTCAATGATCTACTTTCAATCACAACTATTTTTTTGTTGAGACAGGTCTGCTTGTTTTTTTCATGTGACATCAAAATGCCAAATTTAATGTTTATGTCCTATTTAAATGCAAAAATTTTCATATGTGATTATCATAACTACCACCTGAAGTTGTTTAGGCGGTCGGTAGGAATCTTCAATAATGCTAAAATGGGTTAAGTGCAGAGATGCCGAAGCGAGTGTGCTCATCTACCACGGTTGTCACACCGATTTCCTTCCTTTACTACGCTCTTCCCCAAAGAGAAAATTGTTGAAGTTGTGAGCCTTGTGATTAAAAAGTGGGTGTGTGACTTTTACTTAGACACATCCCTTTTCGTCCCGTCTTTGTTGCTCCCAGACATTTTCATTCTAAGAAAGCCATAGCATTTACACTTTGCAACTAATTTAAAAGTAGAATTGCTCCCCGAAGTCATTTCCTTTATCGTCATATTCCACTTGTCGTCGAACTCGGTATGTTGACGAACACATGAATCGGCCAGACTGCTTACTCCTCTCTGTTAATACTGTCATCCTCCGACTCGTTATCTTGAGACCTTGCGTAATTGTGGGCTAGCTCTATTCCATACCCTATTAGTAAATCTTGTATTCCTTTGTTGGCGACCCGGTTTTAAGCACAGTCCATAGCTTTCGCACGTTTTTTTGTTGCCACTCGGCGTTTTCACCAAAAACGCTAGGCATAAAGTGATTGTGTGGTATTGCCTTGGGGTAAGCTTTCTTGATTTTCACTTGATCACATACTTAGTTACAAATGAGAAGCCTTCCTTGTCACTTGGCATTTATTTGAAATAAGCGTCTCTTGTTGCACTAAAAGAATATAATTATAACAGCTCTAAAACCTCGTGACAATTTATATATTGCTTCCTACTATCCTCAATAACTTATACATCAGTGTTAAAGGCTCTTTAAAAACAACTGTTAATCACGGAACACCTCAGCGACTGTTTATTCACAGCATTTGGCGCGAACACTTTGTATTCGACTGATACTCGGGTGTTAATCGGAGCCTATGGCAAGTATCACATGTTGTAAGCTGATTAGGGTGTGACTTGCAATGGATGAGTCTAGCAAATACACCAAGAGAGACCTGTGGGCGCCTTTATTTCCGTGCTGCATTGCTTCTACATGATATGTTTGCGTTGGAAATTTATTGGATCTTTTCTGCTCGAACTTAACCCCTACACGTTGACTTCCGATAACGAGATTAAGTACTAACGGGATGTCCAAGTCATCTCGAGAAACGTGTTAACTATTGTTAACGCCCAAACATTGGCAATAACATTGCTTCCCCATATATAAAAATTGATAGGGGGTGTTCTGACTAAGTTCCCTATAAATGGTCAGCCAACTTATTTTAACCACCATGAGGGTCTTGGTAATTAGAACTTTAAATGTTCTGACTGACAAGGACTTTGAAATATTACATCCTACACGCAATTTGTAAACAGGATTCTTGGTGTTTGTTGCTAATGCGCTTCGTCTGTACTTACGGGATTCAGTCGACCGGGTCAGAACCATTGGATAATACTGATACTTGGCTCATGCACGCGGCGGCTTATTAATGCTTTATATGCGATAGAGAAGCTTAAACATGACTTTACAAGTAATCCTTTATTGCAGTTGTGCATGATTCTAATCGATTATGGAAGCGTCTCTACCATCTGTTAAGTCGTCTAAAGCTTGTGTTTTTATTCAGTTTACGAAGTAGTTAGCTGTGAGGAAAAAGCGTTCTACAGCCTCTCATGGATTTTATATGTCTAGTTTGAGGATTACTCCATTTTTATTGATGGAGGATGGGTAGCATTTGTAGTCGTATTCGTTTTCGTTGTAACGATATTTGTAAGTCTGGTTGGGACTCCGATGGATGGCTCTAGAGCTGCTCCAATTGCCGGCATTAAGTTATCTGGACTTGAAACAGTTCCCTTGGGTGTATAAAATTAGTTTCCGTTGTTTTAATGTTCGGGTATCGATTCACAAAGTGTTGCTGTGATTATTGGCTATCTCGGCCTTTTTGTATGCAGCAAAGTTAATATGCCTTGTTCTTGCTGCGATTATAGCATTTTAAACTGCCGTCTTGGCCACTTTCATCGGTGCGACCCCCTGTGCTAATCCAAATTTTTAGCCCAAGAAACTGGCAATAAAGTTTTGATGATATTCGTTCTATAAGCAGCTCCGCTGCTGTTACCGATGTCTGTACTCCAGGCAGTTTTGATGTCAATAGAGCAGGTGGGGGTTTCGTAGAATCGTTAAATTGCGGATGTTTGATCAGTTTACAAAAAAACACTGATAATGACTGTGTTTAATTGTTGAAATTGGTGCAAGGCGATGGCAAATGTAGCTAACATTTTCCGATTCATCTATTATAACATTAAAGTGGATTATTTTTTTCAAGTCAGGAAACTCAACCGGGAGCGGTGGTTATGTTATAATTGATGTGAAGCTATGGTCGACCCCCTTCAGTAGTTAATATTTGTTTACCTATAACCCAAGCACTTGTATCTTCCATTTGACCCGTCACATTTCACCATCCCGTAAGTATTACGTGGGTTTGGTTATAAAAAAAACGATAACGCGAATTAACTTGACGGCTCTAAGACAACAATAATTTGAGGGTTCATAGTTCAGCTCGTGCGGCGGATTCATCCATACACACTGCCCATGATGCAACAACTTTGGCCAAGCCATCGTGGAAAAATGCAGCACGGAGTTTTCGGGCCAGATGGTCTGTTCGAGGTCTCACGAATGTCTCGAGTTTGTGCTGGCACTGATGCCGATTGTCGCCAAATAGCAAAGTCTGCCAGTTGTGGTCGTGCTGTGATTCACGTCTGAGGTGAGGCATCGTACAGTATGGAGGGCATTGCGGTTTTTCCTTCAGATTGTCCGGCGGCAGCCTGTGTCTTCTGAATCATAGGAGGCACCAGCGCCACGCACGGCAAGCTGTAGTGCTGGTTTTGATATGCCTATATGGTAGTGGAGGCAAACTACGTGATGTGGGCTACTGTGCAATTTTGTGCAAGTGAAAACTGGTAGTGTGTGTGTGTGTGTGCTTCAAACTGAGGGATTGCATCTACTAATGTGAGTTTGGTACCGGGTGGACGAGGAACGCTCAGACAAGAAGTGGAGAACGAGACTGGTCCATTTATAGCCAGCTAAACTAGCCGTGGGACACGTGTAATCCACCAAGTGGGCGTTTTGTGGGTGTGAGACACAATCGACGTTGGCACCACGGGAACACGACGTGCTTGGCTCAGCACAGACATAGGTGGTCTGGCTGTACGGGGCAGATGAAACGGCCATTTTGTGGTTTATTGGACGGATCTCTTGAGGAAGTAAGTGTTTGTTCCAGAAACACAATTGCCAGCGGACATGTATTTAACTTTTGCTGTCGTGTTCAGTGTTTGGTTCTTTTGTCAATCAGGTAGTTTGACAGACAGTGGACCACGTGTCCTGTTTTACTGAGTAAGTAGTGGAAGGTGCACTGCCAACAGGTGTCATTGCGATCCCAGAGAGATTCTCGAAGCGTTTGTTGAAAGCCTCCGATGTGGAACTAGCATCCACACAGGGACAACTAAGTTAGTCCTGCCGTTGCTGCCACATCTACCACCAAGTTTCCAGATAAGTGGAAGACCGATGGCGATGAAACACCTAGCCACTTATTGCTTTTACAGGATGGTAGTTGACAGGTCGTGGTGCACGTGAGTGGTAGGATGGCCATCGCAGGTATTCGTTTGTGTTCGGTACCACCTAGTCAGTACTAACTCCTGGCGTATTTCAGTTTGTAACCGTTATGCTTTTTCGAATATTATTTGGGACTTGGGCTGTGTCAAAATCCAAATCGAACCGTTGCCATCAGTATTCTCATTCAATTAATATGCAATTATTATATCAGTGAGATCCGATGAGACTGTTTATGATAGTTGGTATTTTGTTTTGCGTTAAATTCTTGAAAAAGTTTGATTTCGCAAATGCTGAAATGCCGTCTAGGTTAATTGACGAGTTTGTGTCTTATCGCTTGTGAAAGCGCATCACATTGTCTACGTTTATGGCTGGTCTTTTCCTAATTCTTAGCTATAAAATTTATTATAATTAGTGTTTTAATTTCAATTCGCCGCAATACTGCGAAATCGCTTCAAAATCTTTTTACAAAAACAATGCATCAATTTTCACGCCGGCCACTTCGTCGTGGGGACTTGCATTTGTAACCATCCTCTAGGAGTCTGACTAAGATCATGTCATGTTTTCAACATGACTTTGGTTTTTCACATCTCGGCAAAACACTCAAACACGTTGATTTGACTTTTTTGCTTCGTGAATGTTATATTTTGTGAGAAGGAGGTTGACGCCCAATCAACAAGACTCACCATACCACCAATTCCTTCGTCAGTGTTTGATTTCCATTTGGGTGGTAAACGACCTGTTGGTGAAATAGCACAGCTTAATGCGGTCACTAAGTTCTCCCTTGCTTGTTTGAGCGACGCCTCTTCCTGTTTGCCCTTGTTCAATGCAGCACCTATAGGAACACACGGTTCCCATTCCCGACATGGCATTTAGGCACCTTCCCGCATACACCAAGTTTAAATATTTTATTCGTAGGTTACTATCTGTTAATGAGTACATCCTGTCTTGCCTTCATTTGAAGTAGTGATAGGCGCTACATTTTCGGACTAAACGTTTCTTTCCCCAGGTCGGTGTTCGTTCACTCCGAGAGCTGGCCTACCCTGACGTGCACGTGGTGATTCTCTGTTTCTCTGTGGTCCAACCAGAGACCCTCTGGGCCCTTCGTGATCGGTGGCTGCCCGAGCTGGCCGCCAGCAACCTCGCCCTCAACCCATCCGCCACAGAAACTGCCGTTCGAATCGGCTGCCTGCCCTCCAGCACGTCCACTTCCTACCCCCCTGGTCCGTCCTTTATCCTTGTGGGCTGTGCTTGTGACCTGCGAAATGACATCAAGCGACTGCTCGACTTGTCTGCTAGAAATGAGCTTCCAGTGGACGACAGTGTCGCCCAGCGTCTCGCAGTCGAATTCGGCGCCGAGGCCTACATCGAATGCTCTGCACTGACGCAGAAACAATTGAAGAAGGTGTTCGATTTGGCCGTTTGGTATGGTCTGCGCTCCAAAGAGGCAATGGAGTCTCCTCTGAGGAATTACATATCCCCTGAACACCTCGGCAGTAGAAGGTGTAGCTCGCGAAAAATGAGGCGGCGGAAGCATCACAGTTTTGATGATGTGAATAATCAAATGGTACAACATCCAAATAGCCTCACTTCATCACAGAGGTCCATTTGGAAGAAACTCCTATGCTTACGTTGATCCTGAAGAGCCAATATCTTACATAGCGTCTTCTAGTGCAATACTTTCGATCTCGGTTTTCATGCGCGCATTCGCGTGTCCAATATAGTACATATATTTTTATATAATGAATAATGTTACCCTGATTGCCACAGGAGTCCGTTTTTTTTTTCATTTTTATTATAACTTTGATGTTTAGGATTTTACTATCGTTGGTGCTCTCGAAAAGCACACATGCAATTGTATTCGGGTTATTTCGCTTGCCGTTGTGTCCTCGAGATGTGTGTTTACTAAACCGACCTACAATCCACAACCGTCTGACGTCGAGATGAAAAAGTCAGGCCTGGATAGCGTTGCGTTTGTCTGCGCGCCTGCTGACGTGTTAAAGGATCGTGCTATAGGGCTGCTGGCCGGTGCTGTTTCACGAGGTGAGACAACTCGGGAGACCGCTTGCTTACGCAGCGGTGTTCTTTGTCAGTAGGCTGGATACCCAGCGCCGAATACAACGATTTGTCAATACAGTGACCCGTCCATGTCTCGCAGACATTGCTGGCCTACGGTGATAAAATACAGTGGGTGACTACGCCTTGTTTATGTGTTCAAGATTCTTAATGCTCGTTCAGATTGAATGGCCATGGTGGCTGTTTATGATCAGCTGGAACTACCTGCTAACTCTAAAGAGAACGGAGTTGCGGTCAGAGGAAATTGCCTTTTTATCGTATTTGTTAACCTAGTAAAGCAAGGTCTGCGTGGGCATTTCTGTTTCCCATTTTGGTTCGACTATTACATTGAAGGAAGGAGGTGGTCAAGTCTCCGAGGCTCGATAGAGTTCTAGTAACAGTTCAAGCTGAAGCAGCAAACGACTGTCCTTGTGTGTACCATTGGGGTTGCATCTGTGAATAAGTGATTTCCCGCTTATGCAGTCATATCTTAATCTCCGCCACGACATTTCTAACACCATGAAGACTAGAAGGACTTGCCGTGTGTTGGTCCGCACCTGCGCCTTAGTGTGTCCACTGCAACTGCCTCAGGTCCCATGTCGGGACAATGGTGTTCCTTTCTAGTCGATATAGTAAAATAGCCCCAAACGTGGGTTCATTAATGTCAAACCGAACCCCATATCGTGGAGGGGGAGGGGGAAGGAGAGCGAGTTGCTGGCGGACTGGTTTTTTGCAGCTTCGTTCCTGCGCCACCCAAACTGATTTTAGTGTGGCGCTGCATGAATGCTCTGCTCTCTGTGAGTCGCTACGTCTCAGTTCTCCGTTGCGAATTTGGCAAGTGCCATGCAAGTTATGGAAAAAGCTAGTAGAAAAAAACGGGTGAATCATAGATGCTGGACTAGTCGATACTGAAAATTAATCTCCAAAATTGCTGCTGCACATTTCTTCTGATTGCTCAAAAACCAACGGAAAGTTATAAGCACCTAAGGGTAGTGACTTCCACGCGCTCACATTCAGAACCTAAGCCCTTCGTTACGCAATTCCGATTTCCGTGCAAAAGTTGGCTGTGGCAGATTCTGCTGAGTTTTTTCACTTTTGATCTACTTGTTCCAACTTCGCCGACTGATCAATTTAGCAGCAGTGACTTCTTAAAGCCGCGAAATGTAAAATAACAAAGAAGTCCTTAAAATGCAGCGACATGGTTTCCCAGTTGCCTTTTAATCCGATTTGAAATTAAATTACGAAGTCTACTTTTCTGTCTTCCTCCATTTCGTTACTACAGATACGATCTGGCGTCCACTGGTCTTTTTTAAATCAATTTTGTACAGAATGCGCCTCAGTAAGCAGAGTCTGCTTTGTTTGTGCTTCTTAAGCATAAGATCCGATTGAAAGTACTTCAATAGGTGTGAGTGAGCGGCAAATAAAGAAGGTTAAACACAAGTGATGTGTCACGACGATGACTGCCTCAAATTTGTAGTGTCAATTTTTAGAAAGTTCAGATTTACCGAAATATTTCCAAAGAATAATCCGGGAAGGTGGCATTCAGGAGGTGATAATATTCCAGTGGAGTTTAGTAAACCTTAATTTAGGCGAAAATGCCATTTGGTATTGGGTCATCGAAAAACAGAAGTTGACACGGTTTTGCATGTTGACAAAGGGGAAAACCGTCTATAAAATCTAAGCCACGGACGCGCTACAAGTGAAGCCGAAGGTAGGTGGGTAAGTTGGTTGGTGTTGATAACCTCTATTGGCACCACCTGCTAAATTAGTGAACACTCGATCACTTCTTGTAATTTTAGGCCTTTTTTAATCTAAGAATGCTGGTAGACAATAAATGGTCCGGTTGTTAAAAAGCATACTCTCCGACGTTGGTGACATGTGCGTTTAACAAAAAACCCGATGCCAGTCAGGCGATCAGCAGTCATGTTAATCCTCATTTTTCTATAACTATCGCGATCATACCCTTCTGTGTTTTATTTGGCAAAAAAGAACGCTTAATAGCACCTACTTAAATGTTCTTCCACAAACCTGGTGGCTGTTCTAAAAACGACCTAATCAAGACCTCCGAGCTAGAAGTAATAAAAATTGAATTGATTAACCCAAAAGACGTATTCATGTGCTGTCGATGATCACTTAAATTGTTGATCTTCAGTGCCACGGAATAAACTCGTGAGGTTTGTTTGATCAGAACGGCCGTAGATTGTGCCTGCATATCTATTGGGCAAAATGCTCTCACAAAGTCTGCATAGTTGAAGGTTGAATCACTAATTGGATAGCATTCAAATGTTGTTGGCGGAAACAACGCGCATGGTGCAGTCCTGTGCAAACAGGAGTTCATTTGTTCTGGTGGCATCGACCGCGTTAACTGTTTGTTTGTCCTCTGGGCTGCCCTGAGCGCACGTGCACCTTCGTGGGATCCAGATGTGAATGCGGCTGCTTGGCATTTGGTGTGTGGACTGCGACATTCACGTTACAACAGCGCCAAATCAGGCGATTTAAAACCACCAGTTTGTACCTGTTAGATCTTTGCCCATTATGGGAAAAAACTTCCTGAATTGAAGTGCTGTTTTAAAAATTATGACTTGAGATTGATTTAGGTGGTTAATCAAACTTGATCAAATTTAAATTTGCTATTAAAATTTATGCATAAGTAATTTTTTACGCTACCGACTAATGTGCCAAAACCTCACAATCGTCGACAGCAAAAATTAAAGCTAATGAGATCGCTTTTATGTTTTAGCATTTTGTAACATTTTCCTTATTAATAGTGAAGTGCATTCGTTTTCATTTACAATATTGAGGGGTTAACTTTCATAGCTGTTTTTAGGAGGAGTGTAGTCGCTTTGTGCTTGTCACATCATTTCAGTGTCCTAATATCTTAGTTTGCAATAATTCGATCAGCATGTTCGAAGTATCCTCTCCTTAATTTGCATCTGTCGATTTGACCAAAAATGGATGTAGCGGAGTTGCTTAACGCCATGACGGGGTTGCAGCGAGTGAGAGAGAATTCCCTAGAAACAAATACGCGACATTCATCTAAGCATACCGACCTGGATTCAATCCTGTGGGCATGCTAGAATGGTAGGTGTTCCGTGGAGTTATAACTCAACTTCGTACTTAAGAACACAAAAAACAAATACCAGATGCTAGAAATAGTTACCATACAAGCAACACAAAAGCCTTCAAATCCAATCGAAACCGAAACTTGAAACGGCACAGCGTTATTGCCGAACGCTGGTACTGCGCAGGTGGAGAAGTCATGAGAACAAAATAGACAAGATGGGAATGTTGAATGGCTAAATTCTAAGCCCCACCTAGTCTCCACGTTTAGAGACAAGAAATGCCAATTTGCGTGAAATTAGGTTCGTAATCAATGCTAATACCCGATCGTAGCCATCATTTGGTCAACTAGTTTGCAGAGTTGAATTGCTAAGCACTCTTACTACTGAGATGTCATTAGGTAATTAATTTGTAAGGATTCCCTCAATACCGATAACTGACTTGAGCCTACAGTCAAGAGAAAAAGGCCAGTGTGACTTGCAGGAATTTTTCCAAGAAGTCACAGTGCATCCTCAATGTAAACTTGAAGTGAGTTAATGCATACAAACTAATGAGAGCTGATTGGCCACAGGAACTTCAACGTAACAAAAAGCAGGGGGAAAGTGGGCGATTCAAGATGGCGCAATTCGGTCACCCTAGCAGTCACATGGCCAAAATAAAGCATTGGGTAGATCAGACCAACGTACACCATGAAGAAAATTCACGCAAGACAAGTTTGCTCCGATTTTAACCATTTTAACTCCTGTTCTGCTTAAATGATCTTGTAGTTCGACCTGAGACGTAATTGGGACGTATTTTCTATGCGGCTGACTTCATGTTCACGGGGCTTAAATGAACACCGAAAATATGCGAAAAATGTAATTATTTCGGCATTTGAAATTAAACATGATGTGGGTAATATGGTTTGGAGGGCCATTGGGTATGACAAGTCACAATTTTTTTAGGTTTGAAATGGTAGGGTCAACAGTGCTGGATTTGGCGATAATATAAGAGCAGTTTTCGAAAAGGGGAGTGATTCAACTTGTTGCTCGCGTGAGCTGATACTTCATAAGTCGAAACAGAAATAATTCTGCACCGTTGTCAGGACGTTACCATACTTCAGGCGCCTGGAGCCAGGTTCAGTAAAGACTAACGATGACTCACGTGCACTAACTCGGTCTCTGCACTCGCCAACACGCGTTCGCCCGCCCGCCAGCCGCGCGGCGCCCCCTCCTCACGCCACCCGCTGCCCGCTTCACTCATCTGGACGCTGTCATGTGCGCATTTTACAGGTGCATTCAAACTGCATGGGTTAATAACTTCATCAGGCATGTTTGGATGTGAACTCTTCTTCCTCTGATCTGTCCTTAATGCTTCGTGTTGTATCGTTGTGCAGCACACGTTTACATAAAATCCTACTGATTGCATTCAACTCGATGGAATTTTTCCAATTTTAAAATATAATTTATCGAAATCAAGTCGGTAAACTCACTCTTGTATAAAACAATTAAAGATTGTTCCCATATTTTTAGTGCTACTCAAGTCTCCGAAAATTATTTTCAATTTTTCTCTCAAGAATGGTTCAAGTAATAGGAGTAGAAGCATGTCGGATTTTTTAAAAGCTTGTATCCACGTTAAATAACAAGTCAAAGGATCGGAGAAATTCGTGGTACCAAATGGCAACGGATGACGCATTAAACATTTCCCTTTACTGTAATAATTTAAAAAACATATTTTTTTCTACAATTTGGTGTTCTCTCCGTGTTCCAAAATTAAGACTTCTTTTTTTATTTAGAGAGGTTTCTCAGTAAGCTCATCTGATTTTTTTTTAACTTAATTAACCAATTTTGGACCTTGTTGTAGATACTAATTGGGACAGAATTTGTGCACAGCGATCTCTTGTTCCATAATCCACCTTCCCGTGGAACTCTTAACAGTTATAGACATCTTGTCTACCCTTAAACCTCAAACCATGATCAAATCAATTCCAAAAGAATTGTAATTTATCCTTCAAAAGTGTATTTTTGAAAGCGATTGAGGATAAGAAGTTACATGCGCTATAAGTTACAAATGCTTGGTACAACAAGTGCCTAGACTACTGATAGTGTGATAGTATAGGGGAATGTGGATTTTGGTTGCAGAGTTCCCATAAAGCAGGAGTTTGTTAGTTTAACTGCTTACCAAAATCGCAAAGGAATCATCATGCTTGGATCGACTTTTATGCACCCCAAGTAGATTTCTGAAATCTTTTTTTCGGTTTTCTGTATTGACAGATCGTAAACCGTTGGTACGTAAAGATACTACGTAATCATAGTCTGTTCCACAAAACGCATTTAAAGCTATTTTCACGCATTGCCCAAACCGCAGAAGTAAATGATTTTGCAGAACCATCCTTGCGGTGATCCGCATTTGGACTGCAGTCGGAGTTTGGTTGTAGGAGTGAAAGTGGTGATCTTATTTTACCAAGTAAAATAAGACTTATCAAATGACTGCTATTATCACTGGGAGCCTTCACGCTTAAATGAGCGATGAACGCTGAAAGGAGATCTCGGTTAATCCAAAAGCCACACTGTGGCCCAGTCTGATGCATTATGCAAATATGATGCCAAAATAGTGATTAGACATTAGTTGCTAAGGGCTACATTTCCAAAACCTGGGCCTTAGATTATCACTACAAGTGTTGAGAAGCTCTCGAACCACTGTGACCTATGCTCTCATTCACTGATCCTAGTAACACACAATATTTTATAAACTTTTTAAGTCATCTGAATAATGGCAGGGCCTTTCAGACCTACTTTGTACCCGACCTGATAATATCGAACATATTATTTTCCTCTATTATTAAGATTGTTCAACTCTGAAATAAGTACTTAATTTTACAGAAGTCATTTATCTCTTTACAATTCCGTAATGTGATTCACCATGGCAACCAGTCTAATAAATCAGCACATTTTTAAGTGAGGATAACACAAAGTATGGTCTTCGTTCAAAGACACCAACTTGACGAAACCGAAATTTTATATATTCTTGTAATGATGGAATGCTGTATTAGCAAGGGAATCGTAAGGTGCACGGTAATTTCCTTCTACAACCAATTGGTTCAGCACCCTCAATTAGGCATGCAAAAGAAACTACGCAGTCAAAATGTTTGCAAGGGGACGTGTTAAGTTGTATACCAATTTTCGAAACAGCCGGACTTTGAAAGGTTATTGAACATGTCAGGCAATTGAATTTACTAAGAAATTCCTTAAGCACATTGACGCGCAGGTCTTATAAGGTGACTCGGATCAACATTTGCTCCCATCAATCAAAGCAGATTCTTATGTATAAAATCCATGTCGAGCGTTTTATTGGTGATTACGTCGCCAATAATCGCATTCGTCTGGCTTGTTTTTTCCGTCTTGCATTTATTCCGGAAAACCCTTTAGATGAGTGACTCAGTAAACATGTTTTTGCTTAGAAGCAAACGAAAATAGGTTATGATAAATATATTTCGTTTGCTTAAAAGACATTAAAGACAAAATACATGAAATATTTGTCGGCACGCCCCCATAGTTTTGGATATGTCTGGTAGTTGGATAACGGAAAATCGGCAACGAGGAATAAATCCGTCGATGCATTCTACGTCTAGTCACGATATGTCGAAATTAGTAACTTGTTATGACGACGTAAAGCGCGATCCAGTGTACTTTCGGCCAGACTAAGGTGGGGGGTCAGCATTCGCCTCGAAGCTGAGTGAAGACAAGTCGGTGCTGGAGAAGAGGGACCCGAATGACTAGGCGAATGGCAACGCACTGCCAAAGGTGAGGTACACCTCTGTTCTTGCCTCACCTGAGAGGTTAGAAAACTACTTCCCCTGTTGCAAATATGGTGAGTAGGTGTGCAATTCAGGTCGCCAGCTTCCTCTAGCGAAAGGACCCTTATCCGTGGATCTTCCTTGCGTGGTGTCTGTAGGTATTTGCTTGGCTCGTATTTACCTGATACCTTTGAGGCAAGGTATCCCGATGAAAAGCGATGTGGCTGCTGTGAGGGCACATATGTGTTTTCCGTTAGAGGTCCTTCAGAACGGCGTCCGATTGGAGATAAGTTGTAATCCATTAAACGCTTTTTCCATAGGTTGCGGTCAATTCCAACAGTTTCAGATCTGGCAGAACTTGGAGGGTCCCACAAGTCCACGCAGGCTGACTCAAGTTGGTTGAAGTATTGCCTTGAGAAATGGCTTCCCTCCACTTGCCGTTGATTCTGCCTGGCTATGTCACTTTGTCTTTTCGCGACCGTTGCATAATCCGAAAGATCCTTGTAATTTGCTTGGTACTCGGATTGGAGTCGCCTACGACGCAGTTTTGGTCTTGAGTCCCTTCGAGCGGTCTGTCGGTGTTGAAGGTGGTCCTCGGCTTTTGCTTCTGAGGTCCCTCTCTGATTGGAACGAGCTGCAAGGTTTGAATTGTCGCCATTATTTTCACTGAGTCTTTCGACCTTATTGCGTTTTTCGATTCCTGCCGTAGAATAAGTTTTGGTAGATTTTGGTCTGTTTTCTTTGTAGATGTAGGCTGGGGGTGGGCTAAAAGATCGTTGGTATTCTGATACCTTTGGTGGCTCCAGCTGAGGTGAGTCTTGAGGGATATCCATTTTTAACTCTGGCCATCGTTCAATGGGTTTCTTGCCGCTTGATCGCGAACGTGACTTCGACTTATGTTTTCTTGAGTGTCGTTTAGCTGAAACCTTTGCTGAGCCTGTACCTTCAGATTTTGGTCTCTGATTAGGTAGAAGCAGTGGATTTTCTGGGGGTGCAGTTGAGACCTGACGAGGAGCAGATTTGGCGCGTCTGTGTAGGATGTTTGGATATGCCAATTGGGAGTTGCTTCGCCCATGAATAATAAAATAAGGATCTTCCTCTGCTCCTAATGAATTAGAATAATGTTTTTGAAAATTAAAAGAATTATTGTGCTTAAAGTGACGTTTATGCTGGACGCGAGGTTCCGTGTCTCGGCGAAGAACTTCAGCTCGTGTCAGAGGGGCACTATTAAGCCACGTTTTTTGCCAGTTGTATGAATTGCTATATTCTGTCATTTCATTGCAAAATTCTAAAATGTAAAAGATAATAAGCAACGCATGTCACTTTCTTTGTTTCAAAGGGATGGCTGAGCAATTTTTTATAAATATTTCAACAGGGCTTCAAATTATCAAAGCTCAAATGCGTCTGATCTTTTTTTTAAAAAGCAGGGGTCAGTTTCATGGAAGTATGCTGCACCATTTAATCGATTTCTTGATTTAAAAAAAAATATAAATCAATCAGGTTTGCAGTTAGCACATGGCTCCAAGTGGCCAAAATCTACCTTGATATTCACCACGATTATAAGAGTAAAATCAAGTCAGGGCAAAAAAACCCCCAAAAAACGTATTAATCGCATTTAACACATGATTAAGCAAAGATTTAACAAGAGAATTGCCCTGTTTTAAGTCCATTACTCCGATGTGACAAGAAAATAGCTAAACGGCTGCATAGGTTTACTATAAGAGCCAACGTATTATAAAGGAAAGGAAGTCAACATTTTACCAGCTTGGGATAGAAAAATTTGTGCAACCTTCATTATGGTAAAAGGAAATATTTGATCTTAGTTAAAAAACAACCTATTTCAAAACATTAAATAGACAACAAAACTAATCTTATAGTTTAAAAACTAGACTAATTTATTCGAGATAATATAAATGCATCTTCGCTAAATTATATATTTGTTAGCCATTTGCGTAATTTTAACATGAAGGATCGCAGCTTGCCAGAATAAGCAAAAAGACATATAAAGCAATGTATATTCTTAAACGAAAAGAACGGCATTTTTAGACAACCTGATGCAAACACAATAACTACTTTTAATGAAAAAATTGATAATAACTTTATGGAAATTCATAAATGACTCAAAGAATGTGCTTTAATATGTAGTACAAAAGATTCAAAAAACATCATGGTCTACGGATTTCCTAAACTTCACACTAGTTGTTTCAGTTTGTTATTTTAACTCAACAATTTTGCGGACATTCGAATAAGTGTTAAGGAATTGAGAGCAGGTTCTGCGTTAATTAGCAAACACATAAAAATCATTAACTACTCATAGAAAAATACTTTCGTTTATCAAAAAAGTCGAATAATCTTGTACAACACCAGGAAAAAAACCAAAAACGGAGACCATAAACATTGTTTCAAAAATACTACCAAAGAGGAGTAAATAAAGGAGGCCAATCATCAATAAGCTATTAATTAAAACATTTTATCAAAGGTCAGAAAAATTGAAGCTCAAAATTGTTAGCAGCCAGTCACCAAATAATTTTACGCTACAGAAATTATTAAAAATTTGTTGCAAAATCAGCATTTTTTTAAAAGACGCAACCAGACTATTGTGGGGAAACAAATTACTTGTATTTATTTCCTGTAATGAAAATTGCAAGAACAAAAAGGTACCTGTGCAGTGCTAATACACCACAGGGTAAATTATTTTTTAATTTTCGTCATCTTATTAGTTAGGGAGATTACAAAATTAAATTACGTGAAACATGGTTTGCAATATTTGCCTGCAAGTCCTGCCATTGGTAAAATTTCTATTACCGATACCGAACGTCAGGTTTTTGTATTTGATATTTTAAAAACTTACGTTATGGCTGAGAATGCAATGTCACACTAATATCAGTGGAACTTTTCGTGGGGCATACATTAGTATTAATCCTGATTAACATTGGCGAATTTTCGGGAAAAAATATTTTTTTACTTAATTCGATTTTTACTAACTGCGAATATTAGGCAATTACTTAGACT